GTTGTGTTTATTTATAGATGCAAGTCTATCAAGTGTAACTTGGCAGATGTAGTTGGATTTTAACTATATTGAACTACACCACTACATTTGTGCATTGCAAAGCGTGCGACAAATTTTCGCGTGACAGAAGTGATTGGTGAGATATCTGACGAGAGTTTTCGTGTTCTGATGCAGCGAACTTTCTGAGAACACGGACTGCGTGTTTTGAAACGAGTGCCTTGCATACCATAAGATTATTATGGTCTGGTGAAACGTTTGAAGGCTGAATGTTGATCCTACAAGAACGATACACGATGCACGGAAATGCCACTTCGGAATTAGTCTTTCAGTATTTTGCTTCACAACAGTAATTAATAAACACAAAAATTATGTCGAAACCTGATGCGCCGAAATTTGTTATAGCGCTTTTCTCCTTTAAAGGAAAGAATAACGATGAAGTATGTATAAAAGAAAATAGTAATATGAGATAAAATAAGATATATGAGTACCATGTTCTCCGAATAATCGTCATAGTTTCTAAAAATACATTCTTTGATTATACCTATATGTAACATGTTTTATTTTTTTAGTTGTGTTTTAAGAAAGGAGATGTTATAACGATAACTCAAGTAGATGATGAAGGATGGTGGGAGGGCACGTTACATGACAAAACTGGTTGGTTCCCATCTAATTATGTCAAAGAATATAGAATTCCAGGTATGGTAATGATTGTATTTAGATTTGAACACTTCAAATGATCATTTTTATGTAATTCAATTTGTTCTTGGTCCTTTTGTAACTTCTATATATTCTAATATTTCTATATTTCTATATATTCTAAATTTATGAACTGATATATACAGATGGCAGTCACACATCAATTAAAACATCTCCAGAAAGGAGTCCACAAGAATCACCAGCGCATCAAAAACTTAATCGAGATATAGTATTGAAGGATATTGTGGATTCTGAAAGAGTAAATGTAGCAGAACTGCAAGGTTTGGTGAATAATTTTTTGCAACCTCTTGAAACATCAAATATGTAAGTTATAATACATAACGAGACGTTTAAGAGATATGTATATGTTTATTGCTTATATTATTATCGGACAATTTTATATAGATTGAAGAAAGATGAATATAAGCAGCTACTTGGTAATATACATGAAGTCCTAGAAACTCATCAATGTTTGTTGGCAAATGTAGAAGCAAGTATCTTACAAGGACTCTCTGCAAGAGTAGGGAATCTTTTTTTAACTATTGCACCAAGGCTAAAATCCATTCATACAGCATATTGTAATAATCATCCACAAGCTGTTTGTATATTAGATAGATACAGGTAATTACTGAATTATATATAATAGATTAAGTGTTTTTGATTATGATACAAGTATATCAATTGTACATTATTTTTTAGAGACGAATTAAATGAATTTATGGAGCATAGTGGAGCCATATCACCTGGTATATTGGTATTAACTACTGGTCTTAGTAAACCGTTTCGAAGATTGGATAAGTATTCTGCTATGCTTCAAGAATTAGAAAGGTATACTGAAAAGAATCATCCCGATAGAGGAGATACTCAACGAAGTATAGTAGTATATAGGGAAATTGCGGTATGATTGATTTATACATTTTTTGTACATAAACTATTGATAATTAACTTGCTTATCGTAAGGATTTCTTCTATCTATAGGATCATTGCGCTTCCATCCGTAAGCAGCGTGAATTAGCTCTTCAAATATTAACTAGTGGAATCAAGGGGTGGGAAGGTGAAGAATTAAGCTCACTGGGCGAGATTATTCATGTTGGCTCTGTAACTCTAGCAACCGGCGTAGATCGTAGAGATAGATACTTCGTTTTGTTTCCCACTACACTATTGATGCTTAGTACCAGTCCAAGAATGAGTTCCTTTATTTATGAGGTAGATTTGCAAATATATTGCGCTATTTAAAAAAATACAACTTTAATATAATAAGATTTCAATTTGTATTGCGATTATTTGTATAGGGAAAACTTCCATTAACTGGCATTAATGTAACTGGAATTGAAGATATAGATGAAATAAGAAATGCTCTGGAGATCACTGGTATGGTATTAATATTTATACAAATGCATTATAGTTTTATCTTGTAAAAGAAAAAAAATTACCACAGATACTTTGTGATTTAGAAGCAATAATAAGAACAAATATATGTAAATTAAATTGCAAAGTAGTAGTGATTACTTATCAAAGTGGCGATACATAGATAATAAAATGTGATATGTGTGTTTTAAGGACCAATGATTGAAAGTATCGTCGTGCTGTGTGCCACAAAAGAAGAAAGACAGCGTTGGATCGATCTCTTGATTCAGGAACAAGGCACCAGCCTGTTGAAATCGCCAACCATGTCTCGTGTGAGTTGCCATCATCCCCCGTATGCGCGACTCTCCAGATACTTTGCGAAGCTCGTGAGGAGAAAAATCATATATCCCGAATTGATGAAAAAGTTATTATACATTCAATATGTCTTGAAGCCAGATTTGAGTGATGTAAAAATGAGGAAATGCAATGTGACTTATACTATTTTCCCTGCTCATAGTAGCAAAGGATCAGAGTCGGATACTATCACTGAAAGTAATATAGAGGAGGAACCGCGAGTAATGTGTAAATCCTCGTTAATGTTGGATGTTCGATATGTAGTAGACAATATTGATCTTAGTAGAGTGGGAATAGCGAATACTTCTTCACTCACGAATTTCGCACAGAGAGTCGATTGCGACGACCGTTGTACCTTTGAAACTAGTAAAAGTTTACCTGCTGGCGCCACAATGTGTCACGTCCTGGCAAACGTTCCGCTCGCGTCCAGCAAATCGTACACGACGAATCTTCAAGCACGCTATAAAGAATTTGGTCGGGAACGTTTTGAAATTTCGCATGACAGACAGCGCAGTGGTTTGGCAAAAAAATATTTGAAGGGCATCGAGGTTTATCCGATGAGGTCGGATGTTTCAGTTCGACTATACGATTCCATGAATTTTGTACAGAAAGATAACTGCGATAGCGTTGAAAGAGAATTTCGAGAAACATGCACAAATACTAGTTTACGATCGTCCGATTCGGGAATGGCCGAGAGTTGTCACTTGAATTCGTCTGAAATTAATTCTTGTTACAAATCATATACGTCTAGTCATACTAAATGTACAGATCCTGTAAGAACATCCCATAGCGAAAGCGATAATGATGAAAATAAGTTCGAGCATCAGTGCATCTGCTCCTCACCATTTGGCTCCACACCTCGAGATAGCTCCCACTCTCTGGCTTCGTCCAAAAATATTGATGAATGCACAAATCTTACGAGATCTAATAATGTCAGTAGCGATGCTAATAACGATTCGAATAATAGTGGAAAAAAGATTCAAGAAACTATATTAACTTACCCTCTGATAAATTATGGAAACGCGGAAAGACAAGGAAAAAGGTACACGCAACCGATACGGTATGTACATCAATGTATAATTAAGAAAGTTGGGAGACGTGTAGTTCGTCCAATCCAACCGATTATGGAGGAACATGATGAATCGACAAATCAAGTGTATTCGTCTGGATTATATGCTCATTGGTGGCTCAAGAAACCTATCCCGATTTTTGGATGCACAGAACAAGGCAAGCTTCCATGGCATGGCTGTTTCTTTGATCATTTTAGTTTTTTAACCATGCTGGCGTTTTTACTAATTATCATTTTCCACCAAAAATTGTATGCTCTTATTTCACAGCCATGTTGTGTGAAGTAAGCTGTCGCTTTACTAACACAATACGTTATAGAATAGCCTTGAGAAACAACATTTCAAAAGTTTTTGCGTATGCCTTTATTTTATCGCATTACTGTGATACACTTCAAGAATTTTAGCCAATTTGATTTTGAGTAGATATAGCTTTAGTCTTTAAGGATGTGCACCCTAGAATGATATAAATCTGATTCTACATAAAAAAAATTTTGCATTAAAAATAGGATTGTACAAAACAGTAGAAGAAAGATTTATATAACAATATATATAAATTACAACATAAATCAGAGATGTTAACAAAGAAATTTATATGCATGTATATATATATAATTGAAACAATGATATGTGATTGAGATATTATTATAAATAGTGCTGTATATTGTAGCAGATGAACAATCAGACGAACGGGAAGCATCAACGACCAACAATGGAGCATTGTATGTCTCCAGGGATTAAGACACCTTGGAGTCTCGCATCATTAAGACCTGCTCCTCCAATTTATTCTCTTAAGAGCTTTGGAAAGATAGATTCCACTACAGATACATCGCGTCCACCACGATCATGCAGTAAGATTTATATATATCTATAGAATGAATATCTGATTTATGTGACTAATTTTTTAATTTGCTTTCTATCGTGTTCTATCGTGTGTTCTGCATTGTAGATGAGCGGCAGTTTGAAGAAGATGCGATTATATTGAAAGTAATAGAAGGCTATTGTCTTACTGTCAACGCTAGATTTACTGTACATTCTGGAGAATCTAATTGTAAGCTTTTCGAAATGATTTGTAAACTCCTTTCAATAGGTATCTTTTACGTTATGAAAAAATTATATTCTTATTTTTCAGCAATGATAGATTATGATTCACAAAAATCACGCGACAGAATATCATTTACGCATAACAGAGGCAATTGGGAATCTTGTAACGATAAGTGAGTATAAAAATATGTTATTTCTAATTCTCACTTCTTTCATACATACACATAATTATTACAGTAAGTTTAAAATGGGATAATTATAATAACAGTTAGATATTATAATAATATTGCTGTATAATATTAATACATCATATTTGCTCTTTCTATACATAGGACATTAACAGAAACCGTTAAAACCTTGAAGAATCAAATGACGGACTTGCAATCACAAATGTTACTACTAACAAAACAATTAGATGAGGAGAGAAGATCTCGACTTTCATTGGCTGCTACAGTAAAACGTAGCATGGGAGTCATAGATGGATAAAGATGGCGATAACTTCAAAGAATATGCAATTATATCACAAGAAGAGTGTTCCAAAATCCATTTTACGCAATGTTTATTTCATACGTACAAGTTAATCATAAAATATATATGTCGCGTGTTGGAATGTTTTTATAAAGTTTACTATTTGCATAATATATATATATATGTGATAAACATAGGATAAAAACATATAACATATGAAAAGAAATTATTTATGTATTTTTTTAGAATATTATACAACTTAGCAATAAAGAATACTTAAAAAATGGTCTTATCATTATGTTTGTTCGTTATAAAATGTCTCTCACAATTTAATCTGTAGTAGAAGTAATTTACAAATATAATTTATTTTTTTAATTTTTGGATTTAGAAAAATTGTTAATGTCAGTGTGTAATTCAATATGATGATAGTGATGTAATATTACTTATATTTACAGTGTAACATTAATATAATGTTACTTCACAATATAATATTTTAGATTGTGAGAAAAGTTATGTACTCATCTTAGTTTGTTTTTTATGCGCTCTAACTCATTAACTCTGCTCCGTGCATGCTCTAATCTGTGCCATGCCATTTGTAGCACTTTCTGACTCGCGTATCCAGAACCTTCATGTGGTTGGCCTATAAGACATATTAGAGACATGTTAGAGAAATACATATTAAAAAATATATTTTAATAATAGATATAAAATAAGTATACATACCAGTAGAAACTTGTGTAAGATAATTAATCTGTTCACTCAATTTAGTTTCCAATTGTCCCAGAGTTTTTATAAATTGATGTGTGTGAGATTCTGCTTGTTTCAAACTAGATTTCTCTTTGCTCAGTTCCAGGCAAGCTTGTCCTGTATGAAATGATAAAGTATATCTTAATCACACATTTTGTACATCAAATATTTTGTTTTGTATATTTATACATTTATATCTAGTGCCTTATTTTGTATAACTTGCAATAATATAATTATATAGACCATAAAATATTAACAATTACCTGCACTTTGTAAACACAATATAATATCCTTTTCAATATTCTCTAAAGTTTGGATTCTTTCCATTGGAGGTGTCATTGTGATTCTTATTTGTATAATTATTTTTTTAAATAGAAATCAAAATAAATTTATTAAATCTCTTCAACAAATTTCATTCACCTCCCGAGCCAAGTGAGGTTAGGTTAAAATAACTGAAAGAACCTGAACACAGCTCCCTCTGAACTAGTATTGCTACATTAGTATCGCTATCACGACGCATGTGTAACGAATGAAAATACAAATATTCTTATATGTTTTAATCATCTTTTTAAAAAAATAATTATTTCTTAAAATCATCTACAGTTACATATGCCACATTTATAACATTTTTAATTTAAAAATTATTTTATTGTCTTTACAATTTATTTCTCTTACAATTCATTTCAACATGAATAAAAATAAATAAAAATTTTGTACAAACAAAATCATGTTTAGAGATGCGATTCATAGTTATATTAATTAGATATATACATATATTATAAAATTATAATTTGAAAACTTAACATTAAAAAAATATCAATATGTTTACGATCAATATGTTTAAGATCTATCAAAAATATAAAAATTATGTGCATTTAATATACAAACTATCTCAAAAGTCATACATATTCTGCGTACATTTACTTTTTCAGATATTACATACTGCAAATTAATAGAAATAAATAACAATTATAAATTAATTCGTGTGTCAGTCATATATGTCAGTTATCACACCTATTTTATATTAAATAGATAAGTATAAATTCTTTGCGACAATATCAACAAGGCTATTAACAATATTAATTAATACTTGTCTTTCATAATAAAATATGCTCAAATATTGTTATTTGATCTTTATATTATGTGGTCTGCACTAAAGTTTCTCAAATATAATCCAAATGTTACTATATTGTTTGTTGCTTTATTTAAGGATATAGTAACTGACATATCATTACCATGAATATTTTCACTATACATCCAATTGTTAAGCGGAAGTAAATTTGAATTTAATGTTGAGGGCATGATCAAAAGATTTTTATCATTTTTAAATTCTGCTGTGATTTCAAGATTCTTAAATAAAGTTTCCGATTTTTCCACCGAACCGCACGACTCGATCGAATTGCTCGAACATTGAATTATACCGCATGCGAGTACACCTCCTGCGATATTGAAAATACCACGCTGTTGCTTAAAAATGACAAAACGATATTTTATGCATGGATCTACTTTTTCAATGTGTCCTTTAAACTTGCAACAGAAACCATCGATGTGAACATCTTCTTGAAATTGTTTTGTTATGTTATATTCCAAAGGAATTCCGTTATCGTAACTACGATATAAAAATACTTTATTTTTTTCACTGACGTTGATATCTTCTTGTCTCTTACATAATTTATTTCCATCTTCGTTTTGCACCTGAATTTTCTGCTTGGTGGAGTTGTGTATAAAGTCATGATAGTAATAAGCAAAACTGGATAACTTCAAAGATTCCAATTTATTCCTATTGATTTTAGGTACGTCATACGTTATTAGTGAATCTGTGTTGGGCAGTATTACTTTACCTAGTCCTTTACGACCTGCATAGAATATTATTTCGTATACGCACTTGTACACAATGGAGATCACTAATTGTAAATAATAGATAAAATATAAAAAACTTAAATTACCTAAGTAAATTCCACCGCCTGTATTACTAGAGGTAGGTCTGTTATAACTAGAAGTTAATAGATTTACGTTTTCGGCAAATGACCATCCTGCTTCTATTTGCGTAGCTGGAGAAATTAATAATGTTCTCTTATTACCAACGTAGAAATTTTTATAAAATAATTTGTGTAATGAAATATATCTTGTCACAACTTGATTACCTGTGAAGAACGGTGTTTCAGAATACCATACTGTAGGATGTACAATATCAGTAATGTTTTTCATTCTTGTAAATTGTAATGCAGGTTCAGAAAACAATATATCATAGCTTGTAAAAGTTGCAAATTTTACTCCAAAATCGGTATTAAAAATTGCTTCGTCTTGATCCGTCAGTGTTAAAAGCTGCTTTATCTGGTTCCACAGTGGAAAATCAAATAATTGTGCTTCCTTTTCAGAAATAATCGTTTTACGATACCTGTTCATATATTGTAATTAGATATTTATATAATATGCATTATAATATTTAAAATAAAAAAGATGTAGAAGATATACTTAGCAATAATTCTTCCTGTGCGATCAAACACAACATTGCTACTGTAATAAATTGTTTTTTTCGTTTGAAATGAATATGTCCTCTCAACAACATTGATCACCACATAGATACGATTCTGCTTTGCAGCACATGATATTTTAATCAGTACCTATAAGCAATTTTTTATAGTAATCTTAGGTGTATTACTAATTTAATAATATATAAATAACTGCATAGTATACATATACGTACATCGTTTACTGACCCACTTCGTTTTGTACAAGGTACGTAGTTATCTGTAACATAGGGAATTTCAGTTGCCCAACTGGATATATCATCAATTGTTAATAAATCAATACTTGTTAATCCATATTCGGGAAAAACAATTATATCAACATCCTAAAAATAAAAATGCTTTAATTAATTTTTATCAGGAAATGTCAGATCAATATTATATATCAATATGAGCTGATACAGTTCCTGCTGATACTGTTCCGTAGACTATATTTAAGTAGAACATTTTAAACTAATTTTTTTCAAAAATGCTTACCATTGTTTGAGCTATCTCAATAAGTTTGACATATTCAGCACAATTCATATTTAAAGTTAACTCAGTATTATTTGACACATATGCTGAAAAATAGTTTAGAACAGCTGCTCTATATGTTGGTGAATTGGGCGTTGATCTCTGTTTGTAATAAAAAAAAAATATATATATATATATTTATGTATATAACAAATAATTATAAGTCTATAGAAATTAATATATTAAAAATAGTTTTATATTTACCTGATGTGATAGATGTGTACATGCTACTAATAGGTAAACAATAATCCATTGTTGGTTCATTTTAATTTCAATCTCTTAAACAAAAGTGATTTGTAAATTACATATTAATCGATTTACAATAAGATTATAAAACATAGAGACGCTTTTAGAAATAATTAATGATTAAAATTATAGACCTCCAACAATTTTAATGCATGAATATTAAGACATATGAATATTATGATATAAACTTTATAATTTTAAATAATAGAAAGCTTATGTTATAAAATAAATTTTTCTCTGTCTATATCTACTTACGTGTTTTAGTAATATCTGCTGATGATTCAAAATTTACACAATTTATTTATTTTTAATATCAAAAATGCCTTTTCTTTCTAAATTTTAGAACATTTCTTTTCAAATGTAACTGAACTACCAAGTTTATTAACAGGTAAAGTCGTAAAACGTTATAACGGCTCAAAGTCAGTATCATATTTGTCGGCGGGTCAAACATATACATCGTTTCCCTGATTGAAATCTTCATGATTTCAAAGCAAACTAGGTGACCCTTTAGATATAAACAATAGAATCGATTAACTAAAAAATATGTGTTCACACATACGTGAAAATACGTCTGAATCTGAATTATGGAGGCACATGCAGATCAGCTGATGCGTATACGTCACGTGATGGCGGACTTTTCGAAGAACATATGATAATAACAGGTAAAGTAAGCAGATTAAAGAATGGCTAAAAAGGTAGAAAATTAGAGCATTTTGAATAAAGATTAAAACAATTTAATAATAACAATAGCGTTAAATACATAATTAGAAAATCTAGTTAAAAAATAAAAAATTAATATGGTCTTATAACATTAATAGGATCTTATATTCATGTATAATTTGTACGTCTTTATGATATGTAATACATATTTTTATATATGAATTTAACGTTTTATTATATCTATTACATTTCTGTGCATTCGAAAGTCGTGCACTTTCTTTGAAAAATCTGAAATATGTAAAAATTATGCATATTGTGGACATCAGATTTTTCAAAGAAAGTGTATGACAGTACAAATTCGATGTATATATAACATATATAACAATAATAACAAGGTCATTAATAATAATAAAAAGTAATCATTCTATATGAAACTGGATATGATTCAACATTTATTTTACTATACATAAAAAATTTATTATCCAATAATAATACTATCATCACTTATAAACTTATATTCGGGTATTTCCAGGTTGGTCGGTGCCGGACCTTTTCGCGCACGACCGGCTGCATCAAAGTGCGAACCGTGGCATGTGCAAAAAAAACCACCCGGTATAACGCCTGCATTCGGAATCGGTACGCATCCCAAGTGTGTACAGATAGCTACAACAATGAGCCACTCTGGCTTTTTGACTCTATCGTCGTCCGTTTCCGGATCGCGTAACTCCGATAAGCTTACGGCTCTTTCCTGTTCAATAATTGATTGAGTCCTGCAAATATTCTCGTGAGTAATCGAATATAAGTTCACTGTGTGTGTGTGTGAAATACAATTAATAAAATATGATATTAATTATATGTAAATATATTAAATATATTACACTGAGATAATCTATCGAAAGACGCTTTTAGCGTATGATACTTTCGATAATTGATATTTTAAATCCGAATAATGTCGAGTCACAGATAAGTTATAATAAAATGGAATATAGAGAATTAATTATTTTTATCTTTTCTGCATTTACTAATTATCAACTTGTATTACATCTCACCGATGATAAACAAAAACGGGTTTACCGCGCCACTTAACGACCGACACCTTTCCTTCCGGTATATCGCTCAGTTTCACTTCTAATTGCGCTTCCGACAATACATCTCGCGAAGGCGACATGAAGAATATATAATGTAACATGTGAGCTTTGAAAGCATATAATCCAGCAACACCACCAGCTAAAAATATATATAATTTTATGTATGTTTCGATTTTGTAAAAATATTCTTTTATCAAAAGAGGCATATTTTAACAATAAAAAAATAGTATATATATATATATAATACATTTTACATAAAAATAATATCACTATAAAATATTTTGAAGTCATACTGAAAGAAGCAATGCAACTTAATGCTTTTCGGTCATCAGCTACTTTTTATAGCTGGTGTTTCGGGATCGCTCACGGATTTCCGTCGATATTCATCAAAATTCGGCTTTGGTATATCAGTATAGGCATATCTACGTAATTTCTTCAAATCTAAATGGAAATAATGCAAAAACAATTGTATAAATGATTTTGTCGATTTTGTTATGAGAGATAGCTAAATTATGATTAGCCCATTACTCATTATCAATTACACATGCCATACGTAATTGATCATTACCAATTTATTATCAATTACATATGTGAATGTTACTGTCAAAATAATTTATTATAAGTTAATTAAAAAACATATTGATTTTGTTGATTAACTATAAATGACAAGTAATTGAAAGCTAACATAGATGAATGAATGTTGAGTAATTAGGCTTTATGATAGAAATAATCTTGCATATGCATAGATATATTTTAAGATAGAAAGTACAAGCTTAACTTTATACAATTTTTTAAATTTGGTCTGAAAAAATAATTTGTTGACAATTTCTAATGAGAAAAAGAAACATTTTAAAATTTCTTGAAGATACGTAAAAGATTTTCAATACTTACAATTGATTGGATAAGGACGTAATAACGATGATAAATAATTATCGCAAGTCGCAATAAAAACGTTGAAAACGTGTCTTTTTGTAAAAGACATTTTTATTAGCAATGAAACGTGAATACCTTTATTATTCCACCTCCATGAAATATCTGGTATGCACGTTTAATTCCTGAAGTTTCGCTTATTATGTCAATTGTTTAATCCTACAAATAGAAATAATTATATTAATTGGATGTAAGTTGATAAGACATTACAATTAAAAAATTGAAGCGTTTAATATATTTAATGTTGTACAATTTTATCAAAAATATAATAGTTAAAAAACAGTTATGTACATATGTAGAGAATGTCTCAGAATTGTGCATATTGCACTTACAAATCTTCAGATGTTCTATATCCACAAACTGTGTTTTAGTAAAAAAGACAATTTTAATTTATAATCTAATAATCAGTTCTTTAATGTTAAAAACGAAAATTTAAGGTAATTGTTGATTATCTCAAAACTGTCAATACACTTATAGACGAAGAAAATGTAGGATTTCTGAAACAACACACATATCACATAATAATAATAATATATATAACAGAGTAAGTACAAACTTTTTTTGTCGCATATACAAAATATACAAGTTACAATTTCATTAACAACAAACTCATTAATAACGTTACAAAATAATTAATAGCATTGAAAGATACATCGCTTGCATTATTTTTCTTGGAATATACTCCAAATGTCACTACATTGTCCATATTGTTATTTAAAAACATGTTAATATGCACATGATTATCATGAGTGTGTTCATTATATGTCCAATTTCTAAGCGGAAGTAAATGTGGATTTAATGTGGAAGGCATAATTAAATTATTTGTATAATCATGGAGCGTTGTCGTGATTTCAATGTTGCTGAAAACAGTTTTCGATTCTTGTGTAGAACCACATGATGAAATAGAGTCGTTTAAACATTGAACTACGCCGCACGCTCGTACGCCTGCTTCAACAATACCATAAAGACGAATGCCGTTAAAAACTACTAAACGATATTTTGTGCTTGGGTCTATTGCCACAATTTCGATTCTAAACTCGCAGCAGAAGTTGTTCTGACAAACAGTTTTCGTGACATTAGTTTCTAAAGGAAACGTTTCAAACGTTTTAATCTTATCATATAACAAATATAATTTATCATTATCATTGTTAGCTCTCGTATTACTTTCACGTCTTTTTCGTAACTCATCATGTACATGCTTTTCCGAATGGAACATAGTTTCCTCATCGTGATCTTTTGAATGATCATGATGATGATCTATATGATTAGATTTACTTCTTTTTCGTATTTTAGGAACTTCATATATTAACATTTCCTCGTGCTTAGTGAAAGGCAATATTGCTTTACCTACTCCTTTACGACCTGTATAAAATATCTCGTATAAACACAATATATGACTAATAGTAAATGATATACAAAATCTAAAAAAATTAAATTACCTAAATAAATTCCACTGCCTGTATTACCAAAGGCAGGTCTGTTATAACCAGAGGCTAAAAGATTTACGTTTTCAGCAAATGACCATCCTGCTTGCGTTTGCACAGCTGAAATAGATAAATGATAATATTCTCTTATTGTTATAATGCACAATTTTTAATAAAAATTACTGAGTAAGAAAAAAATTTTGTCACATCTTGTTTACCTGTTAGAAAAGGTGCTTCAGAAAACCATGCTGTAGGAAACACAATGTCAGTAACTTCGTAAGCCCTTGTCAATTGTAATGCAGGTTTATAAAACAGTATATCAAAACATATAAAGGTTCCAAACTTCACTCCAAAATCGGTATCAAAAGTTACTACTTCTGGTATTGCTGTCACATTAAACTGTGGTTCCAAAAAAAGATTCGCCTTACGATATCTGCTCATTACAATTAGATATTTATGTTACGTTATTATATGTAATATTAATGATAATATGAGAATATAGATACCTAGCAATAATTTTTCCTGTGCGATCAAATACAACATTGGTATTATAATAGAACACTTTATCTTTTGGGCATGGGTCTTCGGTGCAAGGTAATTTTTCAGCAATATTGATTACTACATAGATTTCATTCTGCCTTGCAGCACATGATATTTTTTTCAGTGTCTACGGATTTGCAATATTTTAATAATAATTCAAAATTATGACTAGTATCATAATATAAAAAATTTCACAGTATATATATATATATGTATACACACACACATACACACACACATACATAAAGAAATATGTACCTCGCTGACTTCAATAGTATCTTGTATGCAAGAAGTATAATTATCTTCAATTGAAGGAATAATAGTTGTCCAATTTTGCATTTCTTCTCTTTCTGGGAAATGAACTGTTGTCAAGCCAACTTCAGGAAAAACGATAATATCAGCATTCTAAAAAGCATTTAAAATACTTTGATTAATTTTTATATGCAAGATATTATTATTAAGAGTACACTTTTTAAAGATTACATAATCTAAATAGAACAATTTAAATTAATTTTTTCTCCAAGATATTTACCTGTTTACTAGCTGTTTCAATATGTTTGACATAAGCATCAGAATTTGTTTTCAAAGTCAACTCAATGTTATTTGTTATATATATTGGAGGATATTCCACTACTGCTGCTATGTATGTTGTTGAATTTGATGTTGACATCTATGCATAGTAAAATATATATAAAGTGCATAGAACATTTATCAAATAAATCTTTTTTTTCAGAGTTACAGAATTTAATATATTAAAAATATAAATAATTAAAAAATAAATTTAAACTTTTATATTTACCTGATATGATAAATGTGCACACATTATTAATAAATAAATCATAATCCATTGCTGATTCATAATTGACAATTTTGATTGTCTCTGAATAAAAACATTCTTTATAAATTTAATATATACATAATTTACAAAATAATATTTGTAAAGAGCACAAGTGTGTTTAGTCTTAAGGTTATATGCACAAAGTATATGCTCACTATTAAGATAGAGATCAGCTGATGTGTGAAATGTGAGGAGATGGCGGATTTTTTTCAAAAAACGTATAATATAAAACAAAAGAAGCAAAATAAAATAAAGTTAGATGTTAAAAAAATAGTTCTCAATACTTCCAAAAATATAAGATTACTTAGCAATCATAGCAGTATTGTATGTACATTAATAAATCTGTTTGAAAATATATATTGAAATATTGAGAGAAATATTTTCAAGTTATAAACAAAAAATTTTTAATAATTAATGGAAAATTATCAGTATGTAATATAATAAAAGTATAACATATTAATATCATGATTTTAAAATAGCATCTATTTTTGTATTCCATTAAAAATATGTGTAAATGATAACTTAATTAAAAATAATTAAAAAACCACTAGCTATATTAACAAACATATGTCTCTCGAACGATTTTGCTTTCAATAATGTTTCCGAAAGTATCAAATTTATATAAGATCTTTATTTTTAATTCCACTCATAGAAAACGCTGAAAAAGTTTGTATGAAAAGAGCTGGAACATCGTATACTTTAAATTAAATTATAGATAATAAGCCAAAGTAAAATGTGAATGTCCAATATTGTAAGATAGTGCCGTCGAGAAAAATTGACAAATATAATTACCTGGTAAATCACTTAGCACTAGTTGCAATAAGTCTCTGTGCAACTCTCACGTCCGGCGTACAACACTGCTGTTACAAGTCTGGTCGATTCAAGTTTTCTGCACGATCCCACTACGACCACTATGGCAACTGCTGACTCAGTTTGTTTTTTTTCCGAGAAGCGATTATTCCATTGCTGCAAGATATTCCACTGCGACTGTATTAGTTTCTTGGACTTTCCTGCCTATATAGCAGTATGCTAAGCTAATCTTGAACAGGGAAAAATATAAATACATTCCTCTGTTATATTGCATGTTTGAAGCTACGCATTTCAAAGTATTAAAAAAAATTAAAAAAAAAGAATGAAAACATTCGTAATTTTTTAGTAGTAATTAAATAAAAAAATTCAAAGTTTGACTCATTGTAGAAATTACGAATTTAGTTATATATCTGCGAGTTATATATATGATAATATTTAATAATTAATTATTTCGCTCAATTGCGCTCAATGTGCTCAATTGCACAGACAATTATGATTAAATCCATTTTATGATTAAACATGCTTTTTCTTATCATCATTGTTCAAACATTATTGTTCAAAATTCAAAATCACTAATATTTTAATAACAGTTTCTTTGTGTAGTATTTTAGGCACATATTTTAAAGATTAATTAACAGAAGTATAAAATATGAAACTTTATGTTTAATATAAATTGATATAAATACATAAAATGATATAAATATATTCTTCTGTTATAATACTGATTAAAGTTTCATATTTCGAAATACATACTACTAAACCTTGATAGATAAAATGTTGATTAATATCGTTATATCGTACTATTTTAACTAATCCAGATAATAGTTGAAACAATCACGCTGAATTAGAAATGTTTGTACTCTGTACCTTTCTAAAGTGAATGGAATGCTGTTGCGGTAAGAATGATAAAAACTTTAGTCATCATGTATTTTTATATATGTTTTTACGCAGTTATTGCAAGTTAGAGATGTTAATATCAGACTGAGCAAACAGTGCTTGATCAATAAAGACTGGAAAGCTCATCTCAGAATTAGAAACGATGTCAGTGATGTAGGTCTCTTGCAATCTTATCATGCATTGCAATCGTGCTTTCTAATCTGTCAGGTACTAAAATAAGATTTGATAAAACACATTATTGATATACTGCTTTTGTTACTATTTCTGTTCTTATCAAATATGAACAAAATAATTAAAATGTTATCTAACAAGTAATACTTACACGTTGCGGTAAGATGATAAGATAATCATCAAACGCAGCAAACGGAATAGAAAAAACAGGGACAGTCAGAAACTTTTAAAAGAGTGCGCAATTTTATAAGATGAAAACATCAGGTATTTCGTGAAACGAAAGGAGGACATATCCCAATCTAGAATCTAGAACATTTTTTGCAGATAAGAAAGCGATAAAAATATATCTTTTCTAATGTAGTTAAAGTTGAAAAATTATCATCTATTTATATATATATATATATAT